TGAATGCCACAAGCTCTGCTATGAGGGGGGAGGACAAATGGGGCCCGGTCACCGTCCTAGATGCCAGAGGGTCCCGACTGCCGGAGTGAACACGGTAACTGCCTAGCTGGGTCCTCATTGCACCCCGCTGGGCCCGTATCTCCGGGTAGTCCCGGGAAATACTGTGACCCTAGGTGGAAGGGCAGGGAGCAGAATAGGGTGCTGGGTCCAGCAGAGTCTGAAGAGTTAAGAACGAGTAGGAAGACTATGCTTAATGACAAAACGGACAAATGGGGGTTTAGAAAGGGTCAAAAATGTCTTTCGAACTGTATTTTTGGTGATAATGATAACAGAAGTGTATTAGAAATGTAAGGGATAGACACAAAAATGAATGCGACAAAGGCTAATTGTCACTTACCTTGCTAACAATTCAATGAGGTCAGTCCTGCTCATACCGTCAGGAATTAACCTTGGAATAGCAGCAATACACGTTCTGAACAAATCAATTTTAGGTTTTCTCTCTCCTCTGGGGAAAAAAAAAAAACACAAATAATTTAGTAAATTGACAGTTATCAGGTTATAAATGAACAAAAGAATACAGAGCTAATTTAGAAAAAGCATAAAGCGAGCAAGCAAAAAGGTTTTTAGTAATTTGAAAACAAGCAGACCAACTATTATTAAATAACAAATATTACTTAAACAACTTACACTGCAATGTTTTGAAATAACAAAATTATTTAATTAACTACCTTTTAGTAAACATTTAACCGTAATAAATTATATTCAGTTATAAATAATAATACTGATATTAAATAAGTAAATACTGGTTATGATTTGGGGCCTATAAAATGAACACCTAATTTTTTTTTTTTCCATTTTGCACCCTATACTAACAGGAGTCATTCTCATTTATCCTAGAAGGTATTTTTGTCCTTATGTGTGACACACATATATCGACATACATATTTAAAACTTTTATGTAATAAAATATGCCCATTTTTGAAAATCCTCCAGAGGCTTAAAATAATTTAATTTAATGGGACCAGCAGTTAGTGTAATGGCTATGTCGCTGGACTCCCACGTAATCGACTGTGGTTTGTGTCCTGGACCCGGTGGCTTAAAACTCACACTGGGCGCGTGTGCTTGCGTGCCCAAGATCCCAAGAGGAGAAGGGATTGTGGCATGGCCATCCCCCCAGTGAAAATCCTCCAGAGGCTTAAAATAATTTAATTTAATGGGACCAGCAGTTAGTGTAATGGCTATGTCGCTGGACTCCCACGTAATCGACTGTGGTTTGTGTCCTGGACCCGGTGGCTTAAAACTCACACTGGGCGCGTGTGCTTGCGTGCCCAAGATCCCAAGAGGAGAAGGGATTGTGGCATGGCCATCCCCCCAGGGGGGTGATTTCTCGCTTTCTGTCTCTGTCTGTCTGGCGAGTGAACACGCCCTATAGCAAAAACCTCTCCAAAAAAAATAAATTAATTAAAAAAGATAAAAAAGAAAAAAAAAGAATAATTTAATTTACTATACTTTCTTCTAGTTATTCATTGCTTTTCATTTACTTACATTAAATATCTAATCTCTTGATATGCTGGGTTTTATTTTGGTCTGCATTTTAATTAATTTACGTTATGCAAATTATCCTCCAGTTGACCTAATAAAATAGCTGTCATGTAGGGAAGGACCTGGGTCAGGGTTAGCTATGGTGGTGGGGAACGCACTAGCTCCTTCTAGAGCATGTATGCAGTCAACCCTCCTCACAGGGAACTCGGCTACCGCCGTCTAGCTCGGTAACGCCAGTCACCGTCACCACGGTGCAGGTGTCAGCCGTCGGGTACTGACTACGGTGGCAGCATGGTGCGGCCCGTGCAGGCTCTCTCGTCCCTAAGCTCTGTGCAATGACGCAGGCGCAGCAGGACCAGTGACCAATCACTGCGTTTCTTCCGAGGCTGTCGGTGACGGGTGGCTGCGGAGCTGATGTTCCACCCATACACAGACGGCAAAGTGTGCAGACTAACTGCCCCCCGACCCCCAGTGAGAAACCCACGTGACATTTTATGATCTGGATCATCTAAATGGGGTCAGCCAACCACGAGGAAAATGCAGCAAGGACGCACGGTCCCTCCACGCAGTGAACCCCCACTTCGCGTCCTGCTGGTGTTCGTATCAAATATAGCTTCACTTCCTCCTGTCAGGGCCTGGTCCCCGTGACACACCGTCTCCAGTCCCACATGCCTCCCTGCACGGCTGGGTCCTCGACGGGGCTGCAGCAGGTGTCTGCCTTAACAGCTTCCTCCTGGGGACCACCCGCCTATGGGACAGCTGAGCACAACCTCCTGCCTGGCCCTCCTGACTCCCACCCTTGCAGGGACCATGCAGACACGTCACAGTGACCATTCCAGGCACAGCATGACCTGGAATTCATGTCTGCCCACTTCAAACCCACCAATTAAGACTGTGGAAAGCGTGTTTGGAGTATGCCCTGGTCCCAAGGAAGCCAAAGGCTTATGGGTCCCGCTCACTCTACACGCTCCCTGGGTTTTCTGTAGCCTCCGGGTATGCCAGGCACCCCAGGACCTGTGACAGATCAGGTATGTCCACTCTCTGTCTCTCCTAATCATTGAAGGGGTACTCTCCATCTTAAAGATCCTCAATGAAGACACACTAGAAGCGAAATTGAGGTACGTCCGTGGAGTCACAGAGGTAACAGCTGCCTGGGGAGTGCTGCAGAGCTGTCATGGCATGGACTGAGAGCCAGCGCACTGACATGCACCGGGAGAGCGGCTGTTGGAAAGGGGGACGATTCCCCGGAGGAGTGACACAGGCAGGAGATGCTCATTAGGGGCCGCAGCACACCGACGGACGGGAAGCAAACAGAGAGCCAACGTGTAAGGCGGGGTTCTAAGCCCAATAATCACATACTAGATCTAAAACAAAACCTCCTCATGGAGGATACGTAGATTCCTTCGAGCAGATAAAGAACCTGTTGCTGTAACTACCCGCTGAGAAGGAAGTCCCCAACAAAAGAAGACATGCCATTTTTTTGTCCGAGGGTGGGGAGGGTGAGCTACTATTTCCAGAAAACTACCCAGACATCCATCACCTCCCCCTGGCCTGCCAGGGGGTCCCATTTTCAGATTTCTTTCTCTGTGCATCAGGGGCTCTGAAAATAGGCCCCAGTGGACTCAGCAAAGCAGCCCTGCCACGCACACCCGGGGTGCCACATGCAAGGGTCACGTACAGGTGAAGGCTGCGGTCGTGTTGCTGACAACACACCAGACCTCAGGTGCTGGTCCGACAGCACGCTCAAGAACTAAACCGCGCACGGGATGGGATCGCCGCGGGAGGGAAGTGAGGGGACAGGCAGTCTTGGCCCGGCGTGCGGAAGGGTGGTGGCGGTGAAGGGCAACATGCGCTACACACGTGATCATGTCCTCGGGCTCCTTGTTGGACATCTGCACACTGGTCATGCACATCGGCCGGCCGACCTCTTTGTCCAGGTGCCGCAGAATGCTATCGAGGGCTCTTCTCACTTGTGGGTAGTAAACGGACATTCCTGCAGGGAAGGGTCTCACGGTTACACAGGCCGGCAGTCAGATATGGAGCTCCCAGTTACTTCCTGTAGTAAAACCTGCCTACAGTTAAATACTAGCTACTGACGCCACCAAAGGAGTTTCAACTGCGATACAGTCTTCTCCCTGAAAGTCAGCTTCGGTGTCCTGGAGTAACTAGAGAAATTATATAAAAATCATGCAAAATCTAAAATGATGAGGTCATCGGGAAAGTCATGGCATATTTTTCTGTCTTTCTATGCAAAAACGCACCATGACTTACCCAACAACCCAATCATTTGAAGGAAAAAATAAATGCAGTGAACAGTATCCTGTGGGGTCCAGCAGGTGGCGCTGTGGTTGGGCGCTGGACCCCCTCCATGACCAACCACAGTTTGAGTCCCAGACCTGACGGCTTGCTTTCTCACTTTTTCTTTCTCTCTCTGTCTCTCTGTGGCGATGTATCCTATAGCAAAGTAATAATAATACATAAATGAAATTAAATAAGTAACTCTTAAAAATAGTATCCTCAGAGAAAATAAGGATTTAAGTAGACTTTTAACATGAAGGTGTATAGATCATTTAAAAAATATGTTCATTTAGATCACTGTGTATACTCTAAAAACCACAATAGGCAAATACATACATTTTAGATTTGGTCACAGAATTTTACAGAAGAATGTCAAACTGTATTACAAAGCAATTGATTTATTCTCAGTAACACTAACCTATGACTTTTGCCTCTTCATCTGTCAAGGTTTTATTAAGAAAAATTTTCTTCACACGGAGGGTGTTTCCTGAGGGAAGAATAACTCCCGTGGTCGGCATGGGGGGCTCTCCATCCTTCTGCTGCAGACTGTCCGCTATTACAAGGAAGACCCTGAGGCCTATGTTCATTCTCTTTGAGAAAAAAAGTTTCAAAGGAGGAAATCAGCGTCATAAATTACCTTTCTTTCCTGTTGGAAACAGCTCACCATGTAACTGAGACAAGAGGAACAGGACAGAGGAAACACACCCTCTGCCACACGCTATTAACTGGTCCAGGCACTGGCGTGTGCTTTAATGCCAAATTCCCAAACGCCAGCCATTCGCCTCTGAGGTCAAATGGCTGCCCTCTCTAAGGCTCCGTTGAAACCTGTCCACCCTTCAACTCTCCTACCCTCCTACAGCCTCATCTGCCTTCCAAAGCAGACTGCTTGTCTTCGACTTCCCGGGCGGAGACATCGGCCTCCTCCAGGGCCGACTACAAGCCCCAGCTCCTCGCACCGCAGCTCCTTCCTCACTCACCATGCCTGAGCTGGCTGAGCTGGCGGTGTCCCCGCTGCTGGGAGCCTTCCTGTTCTGCATCTTCTGGAACACCGCACCACCAGGTACCCCTTCTCTTTCTCGCATTCTCAACACTTCCCTTTCGACCGAATATACCCCATTTCTCTTAACGAAACTCAGCTACCTTAACGCAATAAGCTCTCTCCACAACGTCCAAACAGTGAGCGTTTTCACAGCATATCTGGCTTTTCGGCAGCGTGGAGGCAGTCAGGTACTCCTCTCCCGGACAGCCACTGCTAGAGGTGGAGGCAGTCAGGTACTCCTCTCCCGGACACTTCTCAGCCACTGCTAGCTGTGCTATTTCTGCCCATACCCGGGTGTGAAATGTGACCCCTCCTGGCGGCCTTCTCCCTCAGGGTGCATCCTCTCACACACTCAGACCAGAGGACTACAGATCTGAAGCCCGCCTCTCTGAGCCTGAGGCCCATCACAAAGCCCCACTGGGATGCTGAAAGGATGCCCCGGCTTAGACATTTCCAGCCAAGTGCAAGGCCTTTAGAGCACACTTGACTCCTCTTTTCTCAGCCAATGGCCTCTCTACTGGGCACTGCTACCGAGACAGCACCCTTGGCCCGAGCTGCTACTGTCTCCTACCCGCACCAGTGGGCCCGAACGTGCGGTGCATGCATCCAAGGGTGTGCACAGTGGCTCGCTGACACACCGGGAGGAAATAAAGTTGTTATCTCAAAAAAAGACGAAGGCTTTAAGCTCTACTCATTTTTCTGACGCCCTGGCTCTCCCTTAGTCTCAGTGGATGGTCACATGTCACAAAGTCATAGAAGACACTTTGAGAGAAGTGGGAAAACCCCACAGTGCAGTGGGGTTGAGAGAGGCAGTCTTGGAAAGCGAGCAGATAGCCTGCTGGTTACGGTGCTAGACTCCCACATGGCCAATTGCAGCTGAAATCCCAGACCTGGTGGCTTGAAAATCATGCTGGGCGTGTGTGCATGTGTGCCCAAAATTCCAGGAGGAGAATGGAGGAGAAGGGATTGCAGCATGGCCATCCCCCCTGGGGGGTGATTTCTCACTTTCCCTCTCTTTGTCTCTGTCTCTGCCCAGTAAGCACATGCCCTCTATGGCATAGAACCTTTAAAAGAAAGAGAGAAAGAGAGAGAGAGAGCGCGAGAGAGGGGCAGCCTCATTTACACATTATTTCTGTGTATTACGACTTGCATGCATTTGATTAAATGGATTAATGATTCATTCCATCTGGCTTTAACTACAGTAGCTTGCACAAGCTAGTTTCCTGAAAAGGAGATACAGATTGAAGATAACTCTAATATGTAAGCCTACACGAGTAACAACTACCCGAAACACTAGCAGCTCTGATACTTCTACTCCTCCTACTATGGGAACCTTAGTGAAGGAAAAAACTTACTTTCAGAAATAACCGTATTCAACGGAGACTATTCTGAAAAATGAATATTCAAGAAAATGTCTTCTATTTTATGATTATTTTAGCTTCATGTGTTGATTCTTTCTTTCCCTTTTGGTAAGCTCCATCTGGGAGAGGACAGCTATCTACAAACAGCTAGAACAGTGCCTGGCATATTTGAGGTGCTCGATAAATGCTGAATTAATGAATGATATTTGTTAAATATAAATCATTTGAAGTTAGAAAAAAAAAAAGTTAATAGTAACACTGAGTCCATGTCGCAACTTCCAGAAAGCAGCCAAGGGGGCTGACCCTAGCTGGCCTCTAACCAGAAATTTTCTTCTGTCATTTTCCACCATGTTTAACCTCACTACGAAGCCATCCGGCCAGTCATCAGCAAGGTTCCTGGCTTGTCCCAGCTCACACCTGTAGTTAAAATAAAGCTGGAATCCAAACCCGAGAGTTCTGATTCCAGAAACTCTGCTCTAAACAAATGAGATGGAATAAACAGTAAAGGATAATATGTTACCATAGGTTTAGTCTTCCTTCCTTGAGTATCAGATACAACATATTTTATAACTGTCACATTGTAATTTTTACGTGTGAATCTAAATGTGTTTACCTCTGGATTAATGGTAAAAGTTTTAGTAGATTTTCCAACACTGAGAAGATCAAATATTATTTCTTTCATTGCAAAATCCAAACGTTCCTAGAAAAAAAAAATTGGAACCAATGAATGAATTTTGGTAACTTGCCACCATAGGTTAGGTATGATAGTAACAATCACACATACAATGTCAAAAACACAGGCTTGTACCCTCTAAAAATCACAAATACAGATCAAGGAGAGAAGTTCATATGAATAAAGGTCAAAACAGGGTCGTGAACATACTAGTTAACTATGGAATGATTTCTTTAATATCCAGACCAGCCTAAGTTTTAAATATTCGTTCACCAAAATCATAATCAAAATCTAACTGGAAGAAATCCAGAAAGAAGCCAAAAGGAAGGCCTAAGATAGCAGCTACCCAGCAGGGCCAGAGAGCAGTTCCGACGGGGTCAGGAGGGACACGCCCATGCACGCACACACATGCACACGCACGTACACATACATGCACACGCACACACTAACTAATAGGAGTGATATATGAGAGGCATTTCACATCTTATAGTTCTGGTAAGTGGGAGTAAGGTGATTAACCCAAAGTACAATCCAAGAGAAAAAGAACAGGAAAGCGATTGGACCACACAGCCCGAGGTTCCCGAACACGGATCGGAAGCACAGTTTGCTTTCGTTATTTTTACTGGCATCCTTGTCTAATGACCGTCTCTTCTGTGCCCCAGTAAAAAGAAACCAATTCCTTTTACTTAACCATTCCTCATTTCTTCACTGGTGGAAATAATCACATCATGGACCATCTAAATGGTCACACTTTCAGCTCAGAGAATGCATGGAATATTCTGGAATCCCAGCATTCTCCGAGGTTAAGGAGGTGAGATGCCTGTGTGTCTCCAGGGCCGGTGCCCCCAGAGGTAATATGACCGAAATCTTAGACTGGGTCACTCGACAGCTGCTTGACCCTGGTGAACAAACCTTCCCTTGCTCCTAGGCATCCAGCTGGCTTTACACTTCCAGGACCCTTACTGTGGGTCTCAGGGTGGGGCATGAAGCCTGCCACATGCTATGCATCCGTGTCTTTGGGAACCGGAGAAGGTGAGGAGGAGGAGGAGGGGGAGGGAGGCGTCTGCTTCCCTGGCGGGCATGCTGGCAGGGATACATGATCTGAAGGACCCACATGTGATGACTTCCTTATTTGATGGTTTAAAACAAATTTTTTTTTCTGGCCCAGGCAGCAGCTTCCTTGAAGGCCCGATGCTGGGCCTCTTAGTCATTCAGCCCAGAATTCACTTCTTGTGCCCGACGAGTGATTCTGGGAGCTGTCCCTTTCCAAAGCCCTTTGGGTTTGACTAGCTACGGTACAGTCTGTTATCTGTGTCCAAGATCCAAGGTTCACACAGATTCTGAAAACAATGTACTAAGAGGTTTTTCAAAATACTCAAGAGGCAACTGGCAAATGGACAAGCGGCAGGAGTGCGAGACGCGTTCTAGGCCATCCTTCCCCGAAGGTGCTGCGGCCCGGGTCTCCTTTCCTCTCCCAGTGCGAAGAAGGACATTTTTTTTTTTAAACGTTTTTATCATTAATTTATTTTTACCTCTCCTCACAAACACTTACTTTACATAACAGCACATTTTTGCTCATACTTCATAGTTCTTGATAGTTAATAAACAACTTTCAAAATTTCAAAAACATGAATTTTAAAGATAATGAATGGGGTGCTGAGTGTTTACATTCCCAGTCTGAGTAGTTGACGTGTACGTATTCTTCTCAAAAGTATTTAAAACCATACTGTCTCTGTTGTTACAGAGTCACAAACGAAGATTAATTTAGTCACAGAAACATCAATGACATCCTTTATATTTCACTTTTTAAGTCTTCTTTTACTTTTCAATATTCAATTATTTATTAAAGTTTTTGCCATAGGATGCGTGCACTCACCAGAGAGAGAAAGAAAGAGAGAGAGAGAGAGAGAGAGAGAGAGGAAGTAAGAAATCCCCCCAGGGTAATTTTAAACATAGTGCCCTTCTTGGGAAGTTTGTGGGGTGGGAAGTCATGCCACAATCCTTTCTCCTCTCGGGATTTTGGGCACACACACACACACATGTCTGGTGCAATTTTCGAGACGCTGGGTCTAGGATTCAGTTGGCCACGTGGGATCCCTAACCACTATGCCACCTGCTGGCCCATTATTCAACAGTAAAGGTTTGGTTATCCCATTTTTAGATGTGTAAAACCATTTAAAGCTCCAACTTATCACAACGGCTCACTCCTAGGACTGACACGTGTGCATTGACTCTGAGTGACGCGCTCACCTGAGCAATGAACTGAATGATCTTCACAAAGATATTGAGGGGCGTGTCACGCGGAACCACGCTTCGTGAGCCTTTGGGGAAAAGTGCCGACACTATGCTCATAAGACGACTGTGGGAAGAAAACACTTCGTCACGATGAGATAGGAACATGAAAGGCACATTAGCAAAAACAAAAAGCTTCCTATTCTCTATCACGTCAAGAGAATTCATATCGCACTGACGATGGTAACTAAAATTCCGTTCGTGTGGTTTTTCTTATCACGAGTTTATTTTATACGTACGTTGAAACAAAGGAACTTACCTCTGAGTGACAGTGTTGCTTTCACATTTTATTCTAATTACATAAACCCACAACAATCTATACAAAGATTCCAGTGCAACGCGAGACATTTTAGGATCTTTATTCTGTTTAAAAACAAAATGGAATAAAGATAAACTTACTAAAATATCAGTAACCGTTTAAGATGAAATACATTCTCTGTCCAAGACTAAAAGCCTGTAATCTAACTTTTCTTGTATTCTAGCTAAATATGGGTTTAAATACCTTGGCATTATATTGGATTTACAAGTACAATGGCTCCAAATAGCCAGTCAGAAGTATGAAAATTCTGGAAATAAAATACTAAAACATTAGGATTGTATTAATATTTCTAAGAATTCTAAAATTATACACATGTGAACTTGATGGTAAAGTGTTCGCAGTACAACACTGACATAACTTTCCCCTGGGGCAATCCATCTGTGAAGCTCATGCACAGCTAAACTACAGAACACTAGGCACTGTGATGGCTGCTTCCATTTAGGGAATAATATGACGTATTACTAAGAATACATCCTTACCCGAGCCAGTATGAAATACTGAGTTAAGAGCACAGACTCAGAAATTTGAAACACAGGGATCAACTCCCAACTCCGTCCTTGGGTGCTGTTACCAACTCTGAACCTCAAATTCCTCATTTCTAAAATGGAGAGAATTTGGCAGCTACCTCACAGATCTTAAAAGTGAATTACCTGTAGAGAGCTTGGGACCGTACCTGGCACAGGTTAAATGTTCACTGTTAAGTGCTGGTCTGGAGTTTTCATTCAGAATCAGAACATTATTTAAATAATAATAACAATGATTATGATTTAAAATCACAAAGTTATTACGGGAACCAGCAGTTGGCGTAATGGCTATGTTGCTGGACTCCCACATACTCGACCACGGTTCAAGTCCTGGACCCGGTGGCTTAAAACTCACGCCGGGCGCGTGTGCGTGCGTGTCCAAGATCCCAAGAGGAGAATGGAGGAGAGGGGATTGCGGTGTGACCATCCCCCCTGGGGGGTGATTTCTCGCTTTCTGTCTCTCTGTCTGTCTGTCTGGCGAGCGCACGTGCCCTATAATGAAAAAACCTCTCCAAAAAAAAAAAAAAAAAAAGAAAGTTATTGCCTTTAATCACAATATGATTAGCCAATTTTATTTTATTTGTTATAAATAATGAAGTTCTCTGGCCAGCCAGGCAGCATGATGACGCTTAGCCAGATGGAAAGTCCGGGTCTGTGGCCAGAGGTTTCCCTGCGTGTGCTGGGCTCATGTGCTGGCCAAAGGTGGGACAGGACCGGGAATGGGGACTTGGCTTTGTGTGCCCTTCTCTCCTGGTCTCCCTCTTTCATGCAAGAGATAAATACATAAACTTAAACAAGTAAATAAAAATGTTCTCTGATGACCAGTTAGGTATTAAGATGTAACTATGAACTTTGGAAATGTAGCGAAGAATCTCCTTTATAAGGAGAAACTTTATATATACAACCTGTTGACTGGTTATGGAACACATTGATTCACTGTATGTTTCTATTTTTAAAATTTTGATTTGGGACTTTCTTATTGTGAAACAATTACTTCAAATGGGACAACTGACAAGAGGAGTTTTTAAAACACTAAGAAACGCTTTGGTCATTCCGTCTTATGTCATGACGATAAAAATGCACAGCAGCTACATGATTAAAAGCAGTGCAGAAGGAACAACTGAGGATGAGTTTTAGCAGACCCACCATCAGATGCAACTTTCTGTATCTGCCTAGATGAAGAGCTGATGTAACAATTAAGAACAGAAAACCTACTCTTCTGCGGGTCAGGGTTTTACACCCATCCCTCTCTCCCTTGCTAGATCCATAATGATCCCAAATTTTAAATATATCCCCAAGGAGCATTCTATTGTATTTATTACTAATCTAACTAAAGTAACATGTAAATATATGTATGTCACTAGTAAAATAACTAGGCTTTCTGTGGTGATGTCTTTAAAAAAAGCATACCTTTCTATTTTTTAAGCCTAAGGTATCAGATATCAAAACGTGAATTCACCCGGGGATCAGGAAGGTAGGGATGAACAGGAGGTGCGGAGGACGCTGGGGGCATCGAACTGCTCTGTATAATACGAGGGTGGGCACAGGCCATGACACCTTTGTCCACACCCATGGAACGTGCAGTACCGATCGCGAACCCCAAAGGAAGCTGTGAACTTTGGGTGATAATGATGCAGCAGGGAGGTCCATTAACTGTGAGAGATGGTCCACTCTGGGAGCCGTCAGGTGGCGTGGTGGTTAAGGTACTGGACTCCCACAAGGCCAAAAGCAGTTTGAGTTCTGAATCTGGCAGTGTGAAAGTCAAGCTGGGCATGTGTTTTTGGGATCTGGGGATTTTGCATGCCCAAAATCCCAAGAGAACGGAGAAGGGATGGCCATTCTCCCTGGAGGGAGGTGATTTCCCACTTCCGCTCTCTGTCTTTCCCTGGTGAGTGCACGTGCCCTGTGGCAAAAGCTTAATGAACGGACGGAAGATCTAGCACTCTGATCGGGGAATGCTGCTAACAGAAGGCTGTGCAGTGGGGGACGGGGCAAATGAGAACCTCTAGCACTCCGTCTCAGTTTTGCTACGAACCTAAACCTGCTCTAAAAAATAACAAGTTTAATTTGTTTTTATATACATACCAAATAAAACTTTCACATTGTTAAATTTTCAAAATAGTAACAAAAGCTATAAATTAAAAACATTTAAGTACTGTGCCACATAAAACCTGTTCTCATTAAAGTGGTTTAATATGAAAGTACTTGGGTTATCTTAAGCGATGATAAAAAGCTTAAAAGCTGGCAATGCCAAGCAAGGCGAAAGCTGACGAAGTCAGTTGTGAATCATGTTTTTATTTACTACAGTGTTGCCATATATGTTGGAAAAATAAAAATATACAGCACTGACCTGAACCTTAGACAAAGCTATACAATCCCCTACTTACAATTACCACCTGCTTAGAATGAGCAGATTATTACGTAAACGTCTATGACATTAACAAACAACGAAGTTTTGATATGTCGATCAAATGTGACCCTTGGCTGCAATCGCTTTAATGTTTCTTCTTTTTTTCCTACTGTGAACTAAAAAAATGATTTGTTCAAAACCCAAACAAAGGGGCCAGCAGGTGGTTAAGGCACTGGATTCCCACATGGCCAACTATAGTTCAAGTCCCAGACCGAGCAGCTTGAAAATCACGATAAACAAATACATAAATGAATGAATAAATAAATAAATATACTTTTCGAAAGGGTAAACAATTTCAAAAATGCATTTGTCAAAATCATATTCAAAAGTCTAAGCTACTGTCATCTCAATTTCATTGGAAAGACGTTTTTACATTTTCATTTGTAAGCGATGGATCATGTACGTTAAGCAGAATAGTTTTGAATTGAGAATGTAGGTGAAGAAGGAGCAACATTTGGCATCCCTTCTCTCTCCGACTCATCGTCGTGGGCTGCAGGGACAGTGAGCCTTCTGAAGAACATTCCTACTGTGTGCTACTCCTGACTTACAACCTCAGCAGCAGGTTCAGTGAGTGCGGTCGACATGCAACGCCACGATGGGTAAGGGGGCACCACGCCACACTTGGGGGGGTGCGCAGAGCGGTATTCCCGGTGTAACACCAGCACAACTCACCTGCAGGGTTTCTATCTGCTTTCTGATACTGTTGTTAGATGGCATCTAAATAAAGCAACGTGAGACAGCAAACGTAAACATGGGATGCGGCACATGCGTGTTAGATGAAAATAAGCACACAACAAGACAGCTCCTCACCAAGGTCTCTATTTAGAAGAAATCTGAAATTTCAAAGATGGTGGCCAGAAATGCTAAGAAAAAAAGAAACCCCACAATTTGCACGACACAGGCTATGCCTACAATACTCAATTAATGGAAAACTGTTCCGATGGTACTACCTCGTTTTCCCCCTTCACCCGTTGCACTGGAGTTCAAACAACTTTAACTTTCTCAAAGAAAATAAGCATAGACTGTGGATGGGGGTATCTCCAAACTGTTTTCATATGATAGCTACTCTAATGATTCCTCTATCTTTCTCAATAAATCTTAAGTATTCGGTCGTCAGAAAAGTCAAGACACATTTTTGTAGAGAGAAATGCATGGGACCAGAAGATGGTGTAATGGTTATGTCGCTGGACTCTCATGTAGTTGACCATGGCTGGAGTCTTGTGGCTTAAAACTCACTCCGGGCGTGTGTGCATGCGTGCCAAAGATCGCGAGAGGAGAATGGAGGAGAAGGGACTGTGGTGTGGCCATTCCCTCGAGGGGGTGACTTTTTGCTCTCTGTTTCTCTGTTTCTAAGGCAAGCACATGCGCCTTACAGCAAAAATTTCTCTCTAAAAAAAGGAAAAACATAGAAAAACACATGATGATTTTTCTGGAGACCCAGTACCTTTAAATTCACTTTTCACACATAAGCCCCTAAATTAATATAAAGATATGGGAATGAAAAAATTACTAATTCTATTTCGGATAAAAGTAAAAAAAAAAAATTTTCACTGGAAAAGTGACATGCTCTCACACGCTATTTATGGGAACACAGGGAGAGAGCCATTTTTCATGGTCACCACCATAAAATAAATCAGTATGGTTATTTTTAAAAACTGTGCAGTCTTTCAAAGTGCCTTGAAAATTCATCGTATTTACTTGTATGACTCCAGAAAAGAAACTCTTTAGCAATCCAGAATTAAAGCCAAGGCATTCTTAGATGATCTAGTCCAGCAATAAGTATCAGAAGACAGAGGCCACAGGCTGATGGTGACAGGGAGAGCAGGAGTCACAGAATGGGGTGGATCTGGCTGCAAGCTCATCTCTAGCACTTCCTGGCTCCTAGACACAAATTACTTACTTATCTTTCAGTCTCAGGTTCAGTACAAATGGATGCTGTTTTTTAGAACCTAGCATCCAGAAAACATGAATAAAAATCAGTCCTAAGAACTAGTGGGTCTAAGCAAATTAAATGTGTTTTAGATTTCTTGAAATCAGGAGACTTCTGGAATCGGTAAAGCAAAATCAATCTAGGTAAGGCCTTTATATGGGATCAATTTTTCCTGGATATTAAACAAATAAATTGTAACTCACAACAGATAACTGAAAGTTCCTCCTTAAACGCCCAGCTCCTTACCTCAACTGCAAAGTAGCCACATTCTCTAGAACTTAATAAACAGGAGCCAATTCATAACATTTCTGCTGAATAGAGCCTTAATGTAAGTTAAGGGTTAATGGCCAAGACAATTATACTCCGAATATTCATGCTAATGGCTCTTATCTCCGTTAGCCTGGCAGACTGACGTAGCCATTCATGAAAATAGACAATATGCCAGGAATATTTAACAGGAGGTAAGGGTTCAAAGAAAACAGAGCAATTTAAACAAAAGCCTTAAGACAAAAAAAAGTTAAGGGACTGCGAAAAGTATTGCAAATATGTTAGGTGGAAACGTAAATATATATATTAAAAAAAATTCCAATGAGCAACAGAAAAGTATGAATTGTCATGAACAAAGCAACCTTCCAGAAATGCTTAAATGCATGTTTTAACAATATTTTATTAAAAGTATGGGAAAAAATCATACTGCCCAGAAAATGATCCATTGCCTCCTAGTGCCTATATCTGTAAGAACTATCAAAATCAAAACAGAAACAAGTAGAATGTAATTAATCAGATATAACTTATTTCCTAGTTGCATGATATAAAGAGTTTAACCAGCTTGATTTGGTCTTGGGAATATTCATCAATAAAGAAGGCATATCAATTTTCATCTAAATGAGTAATATCAAGGTATCTCTGTAGGAAAATATAGACGAAAATATTTTTCAAGAAAACATATTCCATAAACCTGACCAAAAAATCATAGCAGTTTTGAAAATGTATGTAAAATCATGAAAATGACATACAGGATAACAGCTATGGCTATTCCCAGAGCTGGAAAGAGGCCTCAGTCCTGGGACCAGCAGGTGGCGCAGTGGTTACACTGTTGGACTCCTACACGGCCAACCATGGTTTGAGTCCTGGACTCAAGGCTTAAACAATCACACTGGTACGTGTACACATATGCCCCATATCCTGGGAGGAGAAGGGAGAGAAGGGCTTGTAGCCTGGCCATCTCCACTCCCCCCAACCACCGCCCAGGTGCGTTCTTACTTGCCTTCTCACTGTCTCTGTCTCGCTCTCTCTCTGGCAAGCACACACACCTTAAAGCAAAAATTCCCTTCTCCCCACACAAAAAAAGCTTTTGTCCTCTCTCTCCTCAGAGCCCATGAGCTGCAGAGCCAGAGAGCTCATTCCACCCATTTGGAGCTCATTTCGAGCTTCCATTTCGCTGTCTTCAAGGTGTGAGGCTTTCAGTCTCGAAAAATCTAACTTAGGGGAATAGCAAGTAATGAAACATCATGTCTACACTGATCTCTAGCTTGTAAGCAAATATTCAAATAGAGTCATCTAACCGAATGTCAGAGTCTTCAAATGGAGCATCCCACGATACGTAGATGAGGAACAATCCCACATCCTGTGTCAGACACTAATTACGCTTCTATCTCAAGAAGAAAGAGGATCTTGCTAGCTGAGCAGGGAAGAAAGCAACCCCCTCTCCCTCTCACAGCTGTTCTCGATACTAAGAGACCGAACACACACGGCACACGTGTTAGTAACAGGCACTAGGATTCAGAAGCATTCCTGTCTCCACCTCTGTGTGGAGCCGGTCCCTCACGTTTTGAGGCGGCTGAACATACTTGCATTAAACGTAATTTTAAGGATGTTTATTATTAAAGCTTTTTTCACAGTGCTCAGACATGAGGCAATATGACTGAATTTTCTCAAAACAATATGTAAACCAATATCTGAGGGTTTTACTAGATTAAGGAATACTCTGCAATTTTAAAATAAGTTATTGATCAACAGATACTACTACGTCTAAAATAATATAAACAACAATCACTGAAAATGTACGATTTGACATTTGTTAAAACAAACTAAATCTTCAGCCAAGAGTTTATTCATGTCTATCTGTGACTCCCTGCAGAAGCGGTACAGCGTACGTAAGAAAAGGAATGTGGCAAAGTACGACTGCTCAACTGTACCACCAGCAGGAAGAGTTTTAATACTATTCAACACACATGCATCGATGAACATACCACAGTCAGTAATCGCAGGTCAAAAATGTGATTGCATCTTACCTTTAAATGTGACAGACAGTTCTGAAGGAAAATATGCCAGTTATTTAAAAAAAACTGTTTTTGACTGACACATAAAAGGCAGGTAATTAGCGGATATAAAGCCTATAGGAGATGGGGAAAGAGAGAATGAACATTACTCACGGAAAAGTCCAGACCTGTAAATATATTCTATTTACTCTCATAAAAAATGCTAAAACCCTTCTATGCTATTGTTTAATTTATAGTAAGAAACACAATCTCATAGGATAACCTAAGAAAGAATGATAAAGGATACATTTCTCCCTGGACCCACCAGTTACTCATCCAGGAGGGGGGCTATGAACACGGGCCCTGGCGGAAGACAGCATGCATTACAGTTGCCGTGTTCTCTTTGCCAAGTGTGTGGCCTCAGGGCAGACACTCTATCTCTACGCCTCACTTCCTGAGCAAGGCTCCGTGGAGGTGGAGGTCGGTAACTGCAAATATCCTGCAGAGCGGTGAGGTTTAAGGTAACAAGGAATGCAAAGTGTTCAGCTGAATGCGTGCCTCAATAGAGTTGACATTGCATTTCTAGTTCACATGGTCATATGCTTGCCCAATTCTCGAAGCTTTCTCCAAGTTATGTAAAAGTTACATCAAATGGGTGGTTGAGAGGCTAGCAGGAAGGTGTGGTGGAGAAGGTGCTGGACTCCCATATGGCTAGCCACAGTTTGAGTCCCAGACCTGTGGCTTGCTTTCCCACTTTCTCTGCCTGTCTCTGACTATCTCTTTCTGGTCAAACTAAAAAATAATAATAAATAAAATAAAGTAAAAACTGCTTTTTAAAAAAAGTATGTGGTTGAGTGAAAAACTTCAAAAAGTTATGTGAAGTTATGTGGAAAAAAAATGCCTTTGATCTCGGAATAGCGAAGATGTAATTAGAAAATGGATCAAAAGGGACCAGCCGATGGTGTAATGCTTAGGTCGCTGGAGTACCACATAGCTGACCACAGTCCAACTCTCGGACCTGGCGGCTCAAAAACTCACACTAGACGCGTGTGCGTGCCCAATATCACAAGAGGAGAATGGAGGAGAAGGGATTTCTGCGTGGCCATTCCTCCGCCAGGGGAGATTTCTCACGTTCTGTTTCTGTCTCTTTGGTGAGCATATGCACCCTATAGCAAAAATCTCTCTCTAAAAAAAGAGAATGGCTCTTTAAAAGTCTGATGCCTGGGACCAGCAGTTAGCATAATGGCTATGTCACTGGACTCCCATGTAGTCGACTACAGTTCGAGTCCCAGACCCAGTGGATTCGGACTCAGGCCAGGCACGTGTGAGTGCATGCCTAAAATCTCCAGAGGCGGAGGGACCAAGGCATGGCCATCCTCCCAGGACGGGGATTTCTTACTTTCTATCTCTCTCTCTCTTTCTCTCTGGCAAGTGCACATACCCTACAGCAAAAATCCTTCTAGAAAAAAATAAATAAATAAAACACCAGGGGCGTGGTGGCGTGGTGGCGTGGTGGTTAAGGCACTGAGTTCCCACATGGCTGACTGCAGTTTGAGTCCCAGACCTGGTGGCTTGCTCTCTTACGACCCCCTCCTCTCTCTCTCTCTGGTGGATTAAAAACTGTATAATAGGGGCCAGTAGATGGCATGATGGTTATGTTGCCAGACTCCCATGTGTTAACCATGGTTCGAGTCTCAGACTCAGCAGCTTAAAACTCACAGCAGGCATGTGTGCATGCACGCCTGAAATCTTGAGAGGAGAATATATATATATATATATATGTGTGTGTGTGTGTGTGTGTGTGTGTGTGTATGTGTGTAAATAAAATTAAATAATTATTAAAAAAAGCTAAAAAAAACCCTGCCTAGACAGGTAAATATCTAAAAGCAAATTTGAATAGCCTACCAAATGGAGAGGTAGAAAAATTAAGGCTAGAAAGTTTGTAAGGGCAGGATAAATGTACACATGTAAAATTTGTCCTTAAATTGAACTTCAAGAATTTCACATTTGATAATTCTCTTAATCTCCACTGAATGGGTAAGTCACTAAAACTCCCAGTGAAAAAGGAAAGGTCTGGAACGTTTCAGTACCAGCGAGTGCTTCTTCCGGGAGCTCAGCTCGAAAGTAGTCTGATAGAGCATCTCAACGAAGTTTCTCAGACAGGGAACATTCACTTCATTTTTCACAGCCTGGGTGAGAAGACAAAGCAAACAGGAAGACAATGGTTACCAACATTAATTACACTCCACAAAGATTACAAGGACTTTCCGTAAGTTTTCAGATGAGTTAATAATTCAGTTTCTCACTGAAGTATCACCACCAGACGAACAGCCAACGTTAAGTGGGGAGGATAAATCTGGCCCCTACCCCAGCGCGCAGGAGGAAAAGCCAACCAGCGACCAGGCACAGCAGGTGCTGCCCGCGATGCCGGGCTGGCAAGTGACCAGGGCAGTGACCAGGGCAGCACCTGCAGAGCTCTGAGAAGGCCACCTGCGCCACGCCCGCTGTCTCCACTGGACGCCGCGCGGGCCTCCCAACCACTCTGGTTTGCTAAACTGAGCTCCCCTGGCCGAAGCCGGCGCCCAGCCTGAGACAAAGCTGGCCCCAGGGTCTCCTGTGACAGCGGCTACCCAGACACTGTGCAAGTTCAAGCCTACCGCCAGCTGCATTTGGGTCACCAGTAAAGTGCCTCAGCCAATCGCAGGCTGTCACTGACCACACCGTGACCACGTAAGGCCAATCAGGGTGGCTTTGTGTGTCCTTTCATTTTCTGTGGTTATATAGACATATAACACTACATAGTGATTTTGTGTTTTTGTTTTTTTTTTTTTTTTTGCGCTATAGGGCGTGTGCGCTCACCAGACACAGAGAGACAGAGAGACAGAAAGCGAGAAATCACACCCCAGGGGGGATGGTCACGCCACAATCCCTTCTCCTCCATTCTACTCCCGTGATCTTGGGCACGCACACACACGTACCCAGCATGAGTTTTAAGCCACCAGGTCTGGGACTTGAACCGCAGTCGACTACATGGGAGTCCAACCACATAGCCATTATGCTAACTGCTGGTCACAATAGTGACATTTTAATGCACTACATAATATTTTACATATCTTAATATATACTTATATAATATATATTTACTTATATTGATATTTAATATATTACTTTTACATAATATGACATACAATATTTTATATAAAACCACAAATATACATATATGTGTGTGTATGTATGCATGTATGTATGTTTGTTTTTTCCCCTGGGAGGTAGGGCAGCTTATTATTGTTTTTTGGGAGAGGTTTTTGCTATAGGGCCCATGTGCTCACCAGACAGACAGAGACAGAGAGAAAGAAAGTGAGAAATCACCCCCCAGGGGATGGCCATGCAGCAATCCCTTCTCCTCCATTCTCCTCTCGGGATCTTGGGCATGCACGCACATGCGCCCGGCGTGAGTTTTAAGCCACCAGGTCCGGGACTCAAACTGTGGTCGACAACATGGGAGTCCAGCGACATAGCCATTACGCTAACTGCTGGTCCTGGACAGCTTATTCTGAACAACTTCAGTCAGGGATGCTATCCAGTCCTAGAAAAGCCCTCTAGCTCCTGGGCCCTGCCCAGAGGGAGCAAGCCCCGCCCCCTGCCTTTGGTCCTTGCCCTTCCTTTCCAGGTGGTCGTTCCCAATCGCTCTCTCCGGTTTCAGCATCTCCCTCACCCATGGCAGTTCTCCTCCCCCAACCTGTTCATGTGTCTGTCTTCACAGTACTCCCCACTGTCGACGCACACGCATTTGCACACCCAATAACTTCTGGTTGCCCCGCCTGAAGCAGGCGCTCTAAGGACCGGAGTTGTTCCCAGGTCATGCCTTGTGCTCGCTGCACAGGCAAGGCCCTGGTGCCCGTGCAGAAGGCACGCCCCACTGCCGAATGACGAAGCCCAGGCCAGCCAGGCCAGGGGAGGGCTGTTAGGAGTGAGGCACGTCCCAGATAGAAGGACCTGCCTGTGCAGGGCTTGGGGTGGGGCACACTGAAGTCCACGTGCCCCAGGGTGGGACCGTATGTGGGAACAGGGCACCTCAGGTCTCAGAAAGGGGGGACGTCAGGCACAGACACACGCGAGCAGGACGCCTGTGCACGGGAGCAGAGGTCAGCGCGCAGCCACTGCAGGTGCCGGTTTTCAGGGAACCACAGCAGGGTGACAGGCACCGAGCCGTGCTGAGAATCCCACCTGCCGGCCGAGAGCGGGGATTTCCAGCCTCCATACTCTGCAGGGCTACAGCTCTGTCCTCAGGCCGCCGTCTGTGACGCTTCCTCATGGCGGTCCTGGCAACTAACACACTCACTCACAAAACCACGGCATAAACAATCGAGCAACACGGGACAGTGATCACTGCCAGAAGCCTTCACCGCACCCTGCCCCTCTGATGAATCACCTCAAAAACTCAAACCTAACCAGTTCCACACCTGGCAAACACAGAAGACCAGAACTGTAAGTGGTGGTGCACACAGGACAGCAGGAGAGAGGAAGAATAATCCAGGCTCAAGTTCACGTGCTAAGGACGGTAGGCCAGAACTATTCATGACAGCTGTGACCATCCATAGCCCCTTTTCCTTTTGTCCTTTTTTTAAAGTGTTGCCCAAGGGTGTGTGCACTCATCAGAGACAGACAGAAAAGGAGAAAGTGAGAAGGCATCCCCCAGGGGGACGGCCACAATCCTCTCTCCTCCACTCTCCTCTTGGGATGGTGGGGATGCACGCACATGGGCCTGGTATGATTTTCAAGCTGCAGCGTCGAGAACTCGAACTGCAGTCAGCCATGTGGGATCCAGTGCCTCACCCCATGCAGCCCACTGGCCCCACTTTTCCTTCTGGTAAAATGCACCTAAATTCACATGGCTGAACACCTGCAGTTGGATGGCGGGGGCAGGGGCAGCCTGACTCAAACAACTTACAAACCTTTAATGCATGCATTTTGATTTAAAAAAAAGTAACTATAAGTAAATACTCAAGACAAATAAAAGGAGCCAGGCAAGTGGCATGGTGCTCAAGGTACTGGACTCCTACATGGTCAGACACGGTTCAAGGCCCAGACTCGATGGGCTGAAAAATCACACTAGGCAAATGTGTATGTGTGTCCAAAATGCCAAGGGGAGAATGGAGGAGAAGGGACCCTGGCGTGGCCATCCTCCCTAGGGGGAGACTTCTCACTTTCCCTCTCTCTGACTCTCTGCTGTGAGTGCAAATGCCCTATGGCAAAAACCTTTAAAAAAAAAAAAAAAAAAAAGGAAAGGAAAGGAAAGGAAAGACATGTCATTCTGTCATTAACACAGAATAATTCTTGACTTTTCCGTCCACCTTTCCTCACCAGGCTCTTCAAGCAGGACCTGAATACTCCAGACCAATTCATACGACTCACAGCTCAGCTCGCAGTCAGTGGGGTCGAGAGCCCCTCCCATAGTCTCTGGGGAAGGGCGTCGGGTCCCACATGGCAGATGGTGGTTTGGAACCTGGTTCTGGAAGCTTGAAAGTCCTGCTGGGTGCATCGTGGATGCGTGCCCCAAATCCGGCCAGGATGGAGAGATGGAGGAGGGACGGCAGCATGGCCGTGTCCCACTGGGGAGTGCTTTCTCTGTCTCTCTGCTGGCCATGAATGCCCTCTCACAATTAAAAATAGGCTAGGGAAACATAAAAATACATTTCTCAATATGAAACAGAATTTCCTCATGTCTTAAAAAATCTTAAATACAATAAAACCTGAATAAAAAGAACGTAACTACCTTTCACTTCTAGCCAATATGAGTGAAGAGGGCTAGATTTACCCTACAATCAGAAATAACCAAAAACCAAACAAAACATAAAATAATCTAAAACACTATCAGATTATTTATTAACGCATCAGTCAACAAGAGAGGCTCCCGAGAAATAGGGAGCAAATGAGCCACATCCTGGGGCCAGCAGGTGGCATGGTGGTTGGGGTACTGGACTCCCCCAAGGCTGGCTGCGGTTTGGGGCCCAAACCTGGCGTTTGGCTTTCTCTCTTTCTCTCTCTCTGGTGAGTGCACGTGCCCTATAGCAAATTTTGAAATAATAATAATAAATAAAATAAATAATTCTTAAAAAAAAAAAAAAATGTCATGCCCTTAATGGTCCCAACTTCCTGCTTCTGAGAGTTTTCATGGAAGAAATGAAGGTGTAAGGGTCTTAAATGATACATGAATGATATAAAAATTAAAAACATACTTACGGCAGCTACAGGGATAAGAATCTCCACAAATAAACCAGCAAGTGCATGCTTTATGTCTTTGTCTTTAACTTCCAAGAAATACTGGGCACATTCCTTGAAGGAGAAAAGGTATATTTAGATTCACACAGGGAACGGTTAAAGAGCTTACACTGTCACAAGTGTGCGACCATAGCTACTTTACCAAAACTCTACTGTCAATGCATCCTCAGTCACAGAAAGTTAGTCCACCCTGGGGCAATTGAACACTTGCAAGAAAAAATCAGTAATGAGGGTGTTCATTTATGCATATTCTGTTTCTCTTAAAGAGTCAAGAAGAGCAAGAATGACCAGCCAGCGGAGGAGAAGGTGGGTCACCTGCATAAACTGAAAAGATGCTTCGAAATCCTCGACAGGATACATTTTCACCCGAAAAAACTTCATCCCCATTATCAAGCTGATGACGCTCTGTACTACGTGTGGGCTTTGTTCCTTTTGCCGCAGCTCTTTCAACTCCGTCACGAACTTCTTCCTTACAGCCTGAAACCTTTGGGAGACGCAGAGACATCGTTGGCATACTTTGATCGGAATTAAACGTGCCACTTTATCATTTGTCAGGAGACTGAAGGGTGCAATCACCAGGTATGGTAATGAACCAGCACCATCTCTGCCCTTATCAGAGTAACCCCGAAAGGAAGGGGAGAACAGCTCAGAATATTATTCTAAACCTGCTGCTCGGTTATCTTCAAATCAGAAGTTCCTGGAGGAAAAAGTAACAATTTCTTTACTCCCTTAGGGTCATCAATACCACTTAATAAGCATAATAATAAGAGTAAGATCAAACAACCAAACCACAGAGGACCTCTGTAAACCAAAGCATTTCCACCTTTTGTGGCTCTTTGTTATAAAGTTAACAAGTAGAGTTAAAGGGATAGCAGACAGGAGGCTACAAAGTTAGGGAGATAACAAGTTGGCAAAGGAGAGGACTAATTATCACTTAAAATCAGTATCTTATTACACTGTGGGGAAACGGAAGGTGAGAAAGGAGAGGTCTCCCGAGTGAATAAGCTGCGTAACCCAAGGTTTTCCACACCTGAGTACTTCACTGGGTCCCCTCGCAACTGTTCAGGTTAGTTAAGTTTTTCTTTGTTTACATTAGAAAAAGAGTCTAATAGTTTGTTAATCAATATATTTAACTACCCCCTCTACTTATTAGGAATCAAGTTTCTTCTTCACTGTGTAGAGAGAAACTAATTCCTGGACATTAAAATGATCTAGAATAAAGAATGTTTTCCAATAGCCACTGGCTATACTGAGAAAAGAGAATTACTTATCAACAAAATGGGACCGAATTTCAGTTTGATTTCAGTTTGCATCTTGAGAGAACACGATACCACTTTGCATAAAAATATTCTTTAGCATTTCATTAAGAAATGTTTATGAAAAAAAGCTTCCCGTTGAAAGAATATTAGAACCCAAGGGCTTTCTTTTATTAAATTTCTCACAAAGATTATGAGTACATCATCAGAGGACATGCACAGGCACGAGTCGAGCTCTCTCCCGTCTCTCGCCCTCTCTCCTCCTCTCCAACACCCTCCCAGGTGCTAGCAGCTTAACCCAGCGTGGATCCAGTCACCGTGTTTTCTCCCATGCTCCTTTTCTTATATTATTAGTTAATTTTTTATTGTCAGAGACAGAGAAAGCACCCTCACCGCAATCCCTTTCCCCCCTTTCCTCCATCCCTTCAAGATTTGGGGCACATACACACGCCCAGTGTGGTTTCAAGCCACAGGGCCAGGACCTGACCCAGGGTCGGCAGTGTGGATTCAGCTCCCATGCAGAGGCCCGGCTCTGTGCTGCAGGATGAGAGCCCTTTCCTGTCCCACTCTCATGTAAAAGTGAGAGTGGACGGCACCTGAGTATTGCTCTGAAGCGGCATTTCCTTTCCAGCCAGGCTAGCGAAGCTGGGCGTCATTTCATCAATTATTGATGGCAGTCTTTTGGGCTTACCTAGCCTTACATTTAGACTTAATTTGGTCATGGTGCAAAGTTAGCTGGATTCAGCTTGCTAATGTACTACTCACAATTTTTTCTTCTTTTTTTTTGGAGAGTTTTTTGCTATAGGGCGCGTGCGCTCGCCAGACAGACAGAAAGAGACAGAGAGACAGAAAGTGAGAAATCACCCCCCGGGGGGATGGCCACACCACAATCCCTTCTCCTCCATTCTCCTCTCGGGATCCTGGGCACACACGCACACGCGCCCGGCGTGAATTTAAGCCACTGGGTCCGGGACTCAAACTGCGGTCGACTACATGGGAGTCCAGCAACACAGCCATTACGCTAACTGCTGGTCCCACTACTCACAATTTTTTATCTATTGTATATTCTTGAGTTTAAGCCCCCAGGTCCGGGATTCAAACCACAGTCGACTACACGGGAGTCCAGCAACATAGCCATTATGCTAACTGCTGGTCCTTCTATTGTATATTCTTGAGATAAGTTCTTGGTTTTTTTTTTTTTTTTTTTTTTTGGGAGTTTTTTTTTTTAGGGTGGGTGC